ACTATGGGAAGTCCCAATAGCCTTTTCTGTGATCTTGGAAAAGATGGTCTAGTTCGTGTTCCAGTGGGAAAGATGGCCATGGTTGTATTTATCACCCAATGCAGTTTGCAAACAGGGGCACCACTGTATTTAGGTGGAATAGATTTTTGGGACAAGATCCTCTTACTTGCTCCCAAGTGCTTTTATATTTATGGGTTACTGAAACTTCTATGCATATGCCAGGAGAAAGTCGTGTTTTCTTGGAGGACAGACACACACCCAGGATCCAATATGGCAGACAGTCCAGAAAGGATCCTGAAAAGTTAACTTGATTAAGAATGCTGATTTCAGATGAAATTTTAAAGTTAGTTAAGTAGGAAATCTACATATAACATTTGAGCCCAGGTCCTGTCACACACACTCACTGGCTCAAGTGTCTGGAGAGAACAGGGTCCTTAACGGAGCCGGGGCAGGCTCAGGTCCCGCATGCTCAGATCTTTGTGCTGACTTCCCCAGCTGTCTGGTGGATCCCCTTGGGGAAAAACCCTTGGGGAAGCCCCTCTGATATTTCTGTCTCCTGGGCCCCAGTCCATTATCTGTTTAGCAACTTCCAGGTTTCCCACCCGACTCAGGTGGACTCCTTTGTATCTATTTGCCATTCTCCTCTCTCTCCAACGCTGGTCCCTTTATAATGCTGTTAATTCTTGACCTGCGGGCTTTTGTGTGGGAGTTACAGTATTGACACCGTGCACATGTGAGGCATTAATAATATCCTGACTCTTGACCATCTAAAACTTAACTAAAGATAAATGCAGGTAAGGACCTGACTCACTGGCAGTTGAGCCTGACGATGAGTTACTGAGATTGTGTGTGTGTATGTAGGGGATTTGAACACAGAGGTGCTCTGCCACTGAGCTTATGTCTGCAATCCTTTATTTTTATAAAGAATTGGGGAAAGTCTTGCTAACTTGCCCAAGCAGGACTAACTTGTGATCTCCCTGCCTCAGCCTCTCTTCACTATTCGGTTACAAGTATATACCACTGTACACTGGTGGCCTTATTTATTTTTAAGACAGTGTCTCACTATACAGTTTAGGCTTGCCTTGAGTTCACTTTGTAGCCCAGGCTGGTCTCAAACTCATAATGATCCTTCTGCCTCAGCCTCCCGAGTGCTGGGATAACAGGCATGCACCACTAAATGCCTGGCTCTGTGTTCATCTTTGAAGAAGTACTAAATAATTTTCCAAGTGGTATCACCATTTTACATTCCCACCAACATGAGAGTTGTAATTTCTCTACATCCTTGCTGGTTCTTACTGTCTTGGTGCTTTTCATGCATATTCACTTAAGGTTTTGATTTATATTTTTTTAGTGACTGTTGATTTTGAGTTTTTTACATTTGTTAGTCATTTGAATGTTTCCTTTGGAAAAATATTTGTTCAAATCCTTTGCACATTTTAAAATTAGGTTTTTTGTTTTTGTTTTGAGAATAGTCTGATTGTTGCTATATAGTTTAAGCTAACTTTGAACTCACTATGTAGCCCAGGCTGGCCTTGAACTTGCTGCAATCCACCTGCCTCGGCCTCCTGAGTGCTGGAATTACAGGTGGTACCAGCACACTCATTACTGGTTTTGGCTTTGTTTTCATATACAATTTTTACAAAGATGTGTTTCATTTTTTTCCCCTGAGTTGTAGAGTTTGAATGCAGAGCCTCGTGAATATTAAGCAAATGCCTGACCCTGTCTTAATTTTTGGTAGACCCTGCAACAATCTGTACACCAATTTGGGGATTGTGACTACGTTAGCAATAGTGTCTCTATTCACAAATGTGGGCTTTTAAGAAAACTATGTTTTATAAATTTTAATGTATAAGCCTTATGTTCTGATTAAATTTTCCCTAGACAGATTGTTTTTTATTCTTTTTTTGAATGGGATTGCTTTCTTACTTTCGTTGTTTTTTTGTAGTATACAGAGATACAACTGATCTTGTATCTTGTAAACTTGTTTACCAATTTATTCTCATAGTTTTCTCAGTAAATCACTTAGATTTTTCTACATCCAAGTTCATGTTTGTTATTGTCACTTTTATTCTGTTATTTAATTTTGCAATTCTTAATTATCTGCAAAAATAATTGAAATTTAAAATGTAGATTAGTAAAAAAATTAATTGTTGTGCTCTATCAGGTACATATACTGCTTGCTTACTTTTCCGTATGGTTCCTTGTGTACCAGAGATAATCATAGTGTGGTTTATCTGCATAGGCAGGCTGGGGAATGTAGCTCAGTGGTGGAGTGCTTAGCTAGCATTCCGTAGGTCCTGGCTTTGATCTTAAGTTTTGTCCTTAGCACTGAAAAGAAAAGAAAAGAAAAGAAAAGGAAGGAAGGAAGGGAGAGAGAGAGAGAGAGAGAGATAGAGGGAGGGAGGGAGGAAGGAAAGGAGGAAAGGAAGACAGGAAGACAGAGAAAGAGAAAGAGAAAGAAAGAAAGAAAGAAAGAGAAAGAAAGAAAGAAAATGAAATAATTGGGATCCAAAGTGTATTTAAGCTTTATTAGAATAAAAGCTAACTTAAGAAATGAATATACTTGTCCTTTCTAACCTTAAATTTCCAGTTGGATTTACAAGAGACCTCAAACTTAATTTAAGGTCCTTTGGCAGAGGTAATAGATTTTGCTAGGATAGTACTACTTGTGGAACTGTTAGTAGAATACTGAAATGACTTGACTTTTGTATATACATAGGAAATTTTATATAACCACACCCCCAGTATGGAGGATTGAATACAAGACCTTTGCACTGATTGTATCCCCTGTCCTTTGTTTTTTGATTTTGAGGCAGGGTTTTGCTAAATTGCTCAGGTTTCAAGTCTGTAATCCTTTTGCCTCAGGCTTCCTTGGTGTGGGATTTTTAGGCATGCACTGCCACACCTGGCTTCCTTTCATATCTTGCATGGAAAATTCTAAGCAGTAATGAAATATATGGTGAAGTCTTGCTGTTCTTTGTGTATTAAATTCAAAACATCAGGGTTTTTTTGGTTTTTTTTTTTTTTGTTTTTGTCTTTTTCCTTTTTATTGGTACCAGAGATCGAACTCACGACTGTCTGCTTGCAAGGCAGGCACTTATGCCGCTGAGCTAAATCCCCAGCCCCTTACATCAGGTATTTGACATGAACAAATACAGTCTTTAAATGGTGGCTGTATAGGAAGAAAAACATTGAACCAGACATTGAGAAATCTGGGTAGGTTCTTCTGGTTTGACCAAGAGCTAACTGGTTTTGCACGCAGTTGGGAAATTACTGAACTTTTACTTTTGTTTTTGGTGGCGTTGAAGATTGATGACAGGGCTCCTGCATGCTAGGAAGGTTCTCTGCAGCTGAGCCATGGCCTTTGCCCATTACTTAAGTCTTGATTTCTGTTTCTACCTCTGTAAAAGTGAGGTGATGTAGCTGAATGATGACCACAGCCCCACTGAGACCCAAAGCCCAGCATTTTCCCTGACTTCGATTTCATATTTGTGCTCAGTTGACCTGGGGTTTTTCAGCCTTGCTTCCTTTGATATCACTTGGATTGCTTTAAAATACAATGCTACATTAATGTGTGACTTTGGCTTTCTTTCACTTTCTGCTTTTTAATTTGGTGGAGAAGAACTTTTATCAAGAAGGCTAAAATGCTCCCCCACTCCAGGGATTCTAATTTGCAAACTTGCTTTAAAGATTGAAAAGGTAATACTTTCAAGCTTTGGTTATTTTGTAAATGATGAAACATAATGATGGCTATGAGATCAGCAAGAATAAAAGAATATGTTATAGCTTTGGGGGGGGGCTGGGAATTGAACCCAAGGTTTGTGCTTACTAGGCAAGTGTATCTCCAATCTTGTCACTGCATTTGGATGGATTTAGTGCATCAGTCCCTGAATCAAAAGTGCTGCAAAGATGCTCCTCTTCCTCACGCAGCAACTGAAGAAGCAGTTTAGATCAATAAGTTGTTTGAAGTTACTGTGCTGGGAAGCAGAGGAGGTTGGGACAGGACTGAGGCATGGCTAATCTATTCCTCCTATGCCCTCTGCTAGTACTGGGTGGAGCAGATACCCTCAGAGTTTCAGAGCCCAGGATCATGTACATGTTCATCTTCGTAATAGAACAATTACCTACTTCAAAGGATGAATAGAAGCTAATAATGAGCTAAAGTTGGAAGTCTGTATTGCTTCTTAATAACTTCTGAAATTTTCTACACGTATGCTTTTAATATAATTAATCTGGCTACCAATTGTGATAGAAAACAGTGTGAGGGTTAAACTGGTGAACTAATTGGTGAATGAGTTGAACTAAGCTTTGAAACTCAAGCAGCAGTCACTGGCGTTGGTGCCTCAAGCCAGGTGTCCGTTGGCTTGTGTTCCTTGGTGGTATTGCTGCAGATAACACCGCCAGGACCCATTAATACACCTGCCCTTGTGTTAAAGGTGGCCAATTCCGTTTGTTCCGTATCCCATCCAAGCCTCCATCATTCATTTTTTAAACTCATGGGTGCTTTTAAACTTTGCTTTACCGCATTACTCTTGTGCTACACATTCGCTTGCACCTATGGGACAAACAGCCCACTCTCTGGAGCAGTCCCTCTGGATCCTTTGGTCTCTGTGGCTGTGGTTCCTCTCGGTCCCTTATATTCATGTCTCTTCTTGCTTTACTGTTCCTTATAACTCTCTGGTTAATCATCCGAGAGCTGTGCTTTGGAAGTGGCGCTCTGTGGTTGGGTGACTGTGAAGGCTTAACACTGTCTCTTCTCCCTGCAAGCATCTGGGAGATTTGGGAAATCTCCGTATTAACCCCCTGCCTTTCATCTTTCGGCTTTTGTGGAAACGTGAGACAGGGTGGCTGTGGTGTTTTTTCCTGTCTTGGGGAAGAACATTGAGAAAAATGAGAACGACTGTCTTAGGAATGTCTGTTTGCCTCAGTAACTGATATTTTTTTGGTAAATATTCAACGTTGTCTGTTCTATTGGTTCACTGTGCTTTCTCTCCCTCTAGCCCCCCAGGTTCGCCTAATAGTCTTGGCTACTTCCCTACAGCTGCCAGTCTTAGCAGTGTCCCTCCACAGCCCGGCACGGTGGTCAGGATGCAGGGCTTGGCCTACAATACTGGAGTTAAGGAAATTCTTAACTTCTTCCAAGGTTACCAGGTCAGTACCTTGAAGAAGCAACACCCACAGGGCCCTTATGATTTAAGTCGATTTGCCTAAAGAACACAGCCAGCAAAGGTGTGGATTTTCTGAAGCATAACACGTGTTCACGCGCTAATAGGTTGACTTGCTAAAGCTGAAAGAGCAGAGTGTTGGGGTGGAGGCAGCCGGCTTCGGGCTCGTACTCTAGACAAGATGAGGGCTTTTTCCATGCTGGCTTACTTCTGTCTGTTTAATCTGTTGTTTGTTCTGAAACCTTTGCTACTTTGAGAAAGCTCTCGGGCCACGCCACAGCATGGGGGTTTGCATTAAGAGTAGGGGGGCTGCCCAGGGATTTAGTTCATCGGCACAAACACCGTCTGCCTGGTCGTGAGTTCAAACCCTAATACCAAAAAAAAGATAAAGAATGAAGCCTAAGGATGAGCTCTCCTATGAGCCTGTGCCAAGTCCTTGTTTTTTGTTAAGAACGTGGTCTGGGAATGTAGGTTAGCAGTAGAGTTCTGCACTTGGTCCCGAGTAAAGTGGTCCCCACGTTACTTGGTCAGTGCTCCCACAAAGTGGTCAGTGGCCAGTGTCTAATGTGGGAAAAGGAAAAAAAAAAAAAAAAAAAAAAAAAGCAATGCTTAGCAAAGACCCCCAGTGAGTCATTAGAGTGCGATGCTATTCTAATGAGGCTGATGCTGCTCTTAACATGTCTTTCTACCTGCTGTGTCCGTCAGCTGTTTTCTGACTTCCTTAAGGAATGAGTTTTTGGGCCGGGTATATAGCTCAGTGGCACAGCGCCTGCCTGGCAAGCTCAAAGTTCTGAGTTCGTTATCAAAAAGCAAAAGAAAACGGTTGTGCTCTGTAGCAGTGAACAAATGTTCCCATTGCCCATTCATCTGAGCAGACTCTTTTCCTTAAGTTAGTTATATAGTAGCCTAAAGCCTGAAATCTCTTTCCTGCTATTGCTATACTAGGGAAAATTGTCCTCTTTCTCAAGCTGACCCTGCTCAAGTCTGCAGGGTGGGAAGGCAGCGTCGTAAAGGCCTGCAGCATAGCCCCCGCGCATCTGCAGTGCAGCCTGTGGGCGCCATGTCTGGCCTCACTGCCGCACTGGGGATCAGTTTATAAAATCGGTACCATTGGTCACCAAGGGCTATGACTCCAGCCAAAAGCCTGTCTGATGGTGCCATGTGTCACAGACCTACCACATTCCCCTGATTGTTCTAAGGGCTTTTAACAGGCAAGGGATTATTTTTGAACAAGCAATGAAAATCTATGATAGGGTCAGGGATATCACTCAGTGGCATAAACACCTGCCTGCAAGCACAATGGTCTGATTTCTATTTCCTGGTACAAAAAGAAAAAAAAGATAATCTATGATAGGGAAGAACTGAATGAAAGCAGTCAGAAGTTCTCTTTTGCTATTGACTGACTGGATTAGGATACATATACTTTCCTAGAAGCAAGATTCTTGTTCTAAATATGTTTGTTTCAGATATCAATAGATTCTTTACTGTTTCCTGAACAATTATGCTGCCTCTGGAGGACATTAAAATGGGTAAAAATGTTACCTTCCAAACTTCCTATCTGACTCATTAAATTATCAAATTTTACTGGAAGCTCATTGGAAAGGTTACTTAATCTCATGGAGAAAACATTTTTATGTTTTCTACCTTAGTCCAAAGGAAGTTTGAAATTCAACAGTCAGCTGAGTTAATTTTAGTCTTAATTTATATTCACCCTAAGTAAAATTAAGCAGTTCTATACATGAATTAGTGATGAGAGTACAATTTCTCTTATCCAGCCTCGCTGGACTACTTTACTATAGACAAAATAGCAACTATTTATGACTAAAAAACTTACAAGCTTCAAAAGAGAGAAACATCAATCTGTAGATGTTCTTGTTAACAATTTGTAGTGTAATTTGATGTTGCAGTAGAGTTATCTGGTATAATCAACAGAAAGTTTGTACAAAATTGTTTCTCCTGAAAATATTTGTCCCCCTTATTTTTTTTTTGGGGGGGGGGGGATAGGGTCTCACTGTGTAGTCCAGACTGGCTGGGATTCCTGGTAATCCTCCCTGGAATTACAGACATGTACTGCCTCAGCTGGTTTAGTCTTCACTTTAGAAGTGCTTAGAATGTGTAAAGTGGGCCAGTGAATTAAGATTGCATTGGAACCTCAGTTACCCAGACCCGTATATACTCCAATATTTGCCTTCAGTAATTGGAGCTGTGAGGCACATATTCAAAACCTTTACTCCTATCCAGTTTTAGATCATTATTACATAAAAGCTCCCATTTTGTTCTACTGTTCAGAGTCCATGCCATACTTTTTTCTATTCTCAGTTATGCAGGTAATAACCAGTCACTATGTACTTCCAGATTTGTTCGATTTGCTTTGTCACAAGATATAACCTGTCTTTATCTCTACCTACAGTATATTTATCACTGTTGCTAACTTAGTCAGAAGTTTTAATGTTATTTGTAATTATTAATATCATAATAATTATGTATTTAAGCAACTATCTAGAAAATAATTAGCTGAGCAAGTAAAATTTGTTGTCATTGTTTTTTTTTTTTTCCTTTTTGAGACAATGTGTCACTATGCTATTCAGGGTCATGTCTTTTATTGTTTTTTGTTTTGTTTTGTCTTTTTGAGACAAGGTCTCACTCTGCAGTTCAAGCTGGCCTTGAGCTCACTGTGTAGCCTAGGCTTGTCTTGAATTTGCAAAAATCCTCTTGCCTCAGCCTCTCAAGTGCTGGGATTACAGACATGTACCACCACACCTGGTTTAGGGTCACTGTCGTTTAAAAGAGTCTAGAACTCGATAACATAGTATGTCATTTTATAAACTGATTGTCCTTAAATACATTTTAAAATGAGTTTTCTCATTACTATCAGCAAAATTTCTTGTGTAAAACTATTCTAAATTTGTGTTTTCCATAATTCATATGATATTAGAGGAACAAAGATTTATAAAAATGGAAGCCAGGCAATAGAAAAGTTGGCCAGGCTGGGGTGATGTCAAGTCCAACCTAAACTGCATAGCAAGACCCTGTCTCAAAAGAAATGATTTTTTGGCATGTGGAAATGCCTTCTCCTCATTTCTTGTGAAGCAGGAATATATCCATGACATGCTACATTAAAAAGAGTTTTCAGGGCTGCCAACCTTACAGTAGAGGTTGAGTGGTAGTATATTTCTCCTACATTAAAGGGGAAAAAAAAAAGAAATGATTTTTAAAAAGGGAGAAATTTTGATGACTAAAGCAGGATGTGGGCCATAGATTCTATAATCAAATCTCCCCACATGGAGAATTAAGGTACCAGAGTTAGATCTGTTTTACTAAATGGAACTATTAGAACTTATAAAGACAAATTACCTTCAGAATGTTTAGCATTCGGTTCAGTAAAACAAATGTGTGTATATTTTAGTCGATGAATGTCCTATTTGAAATGGATTTCCAGGGATACCTGTACAATTCCTTTAACTTTTTTTCATTTACTTTATTGTCAATGCCTTTACATTTTCAATAAATCCTGGTTTTATTTTGCAAGGTGCTGACTTTAATCAACATCTTTTAGGTTACTTACTTTGGATTGTTATTTGGTATTGCACTGATGGAATAAGATTGAGATTTCAGGCTTATCTAACACTATACGAAACCCTCAGGGTTGTTGGGAGATATTGAGTAGATTGGCCTTGTTGTAAATGGCTTGCAAATAATTTGTCCTCAAATACTTGCTATCCATTCCTGCCTGCAGCATCATTCAAACTGTACTATTCATGAGATCTGAAGTTTGGCATCCTGAATTATTGTGGGCGGGTGTTTTTGAGGGTTTTTACTTTGTTTCTGAGTTTTTAGCTTTTTCTCATAATCTATATGTTCAATCTAACTTCATTTATTGAAAGGATTTTGATGGTACTTTTATGTTAAATAAGAAATGAACATTTCCTATCAGAGTTACATATGTGGTTTATACCACTGCTTTATTTCCTACAATGTAACTTGTCTGCTCTTTTGGGGTAGCTATTTTTAGTTGAAATACTAACCACCGAGTGACAACTTGTCCATCTTTTGATCCTGTTTGTTTCAACTTGCATTTTAGTATGCAACCGAGGATGGACTTGTTCACACAAATGACCAGGCCAGGACTCTACCCAAAGAATGGGTTTGTATTTAAGGGCCCCAGCAGTTAGACCATCCTCAGAAAAGAAGGTAAGGTGCTCTGATTTGCAAGCTAAATTACAAAGGGCCAACCTAATAGACTGAGATCTCAAAGACAACTTTAGCTCTTAAATTTTAATTGGCCAATAGTGCTTGGTTATAGTTGGATTTTATACATGTATAGAAATCAACAACTTTAAAGGAGACATTTTTTCTGCTTTGTAAGATAGGCACAATATCGGGGCTGGGGATTTAGCTCAGCAGCATAAGCTCCTGCCTTGCAAGCAGGCAGTGGTGAGTTCGATCCCCGGTACTGATAAAAAGGAAAAAGACCAAAAAAAAAAAAAAAGATAGGCACAATATCATTGGTGTCTTTTTTGTTCCAAAATCCAGCCTGGGATTCTACATTGCATTTAGCTGTCGCCTCTCTTTCGTGTCCTCTCGTCTGTTTTGGTTTCTCAGTGTTTCTTTGCTTATTACTACCTGGCCACTTTTAAGGGTTATTACCTTGGACATATTTTACAGACTTTCAATTCGGATTTATGTTTACCTTTTGGTAGGTGTTGGGAAGGAACAGCTTGAATGCAAATTGCCGATCGAAGCAAGCAGGATCCAGACATGAGGACACTGCTTAGTGCTGGCAGTATCAGCCTTGGTCTCTGGGCTGAGGTCATGCTTTCTGGGATTCTCTGCTACAAAGTTGATGCTTTTTTCTCTCACACTCTATTTCTTTCAAGAGTCATGCTACACAGCCAGGTGTGGTGGCACATCCCTGTAATCCTAGCATGTGGGAGGCTAAAACAGAAGGATTATTCTGAGTTTGAGTTTGTCTGGGGTACAAAGTGAATTCAAGGCCAGCTTGAAATGCATAGTTCCACCTTGTCTCAAAAAAGGAGGAGTCATGGTACAACTCACATCCAAGGTGCAGAGGGTTTAGAAATTGCTGTGGAAGGGTGACTTGTCCTTTCTTCCCTGGTTTTTGTTATTGTTTTGTTTCTTGTCAATACTAGGAATTGAACCTGGGACCTTAAATTTCCCAGATTCTAGGTGTGCTAGAGAAGCACTCTACCCCTGAGCTACGTTCCCCATATTCCTGTTTTCTATTTATGCATTTCATGTAATTATGTCTAGGTTATACATTTTCCCTTGTTGTATGGAATGGTGTGTATTTATCTGATACTTTAATGCAGTCTATAATCTAGTGCTATTCTTCTGTTCCACTTGCTGCATCACTGCCCGTGGGAGCTCAGTCAGTTCCTTTAACACACTCCTGTTCTTTTGGATTTTTAAAGCTTTTCCCTTCAAGGCCTGCAGGTATAATTTGTCCAGTTCCTAATCTGTTCCTTTACTTTGGGTTTTACCTCTTTGAACAGTGTTTTCTTTAGTCTTTGCATTATCTTCAAGAAACAAGACTTTGATTTCTGAACAGAAATGCTTTCTCTTCCCTCTACAGAACTTATTCTGAAGAGTTTAGATTACGTAGGCCTTCTGCACAGTCAGAGAAATTGCTATTGAAAAATTTCCTACAAAAGTAACAATACTGCTGAGCACGGTGGCCCATTTTTGTAATCTCAACACTTTGGGGGCTGAGGCAGGAAGATCCCTGTGAGTTTGCAGCCATCTTGGGCTACAGAGTGAAACTTTGTCTCAAAAACCAAAGAAGTAGAAGATAAAAGAAAGGAAAAAGTAACAGTACTTTAATCTATGTCTTGAGGCTAATCCATTAGTTGCAACATAAAAACAAACAGTGTATACATTGAATCATGTTGTAATTTTGTTTTAAGAGGTTGTACAGAATTAGAAGAAACAAAATCTTTTTAATTGCATGTACTTACCTTTTTTTTATTTAGAGAAAATTGAGTCTAATGTGCTAAAATACATTATTTAATACCTGATTGAACCTTAATGTAGATAATACTTGGTGTTGCCATTGTTTTCTGTAAGAGTAAATTGTGGGTTACTTGTGGTTTTTTTTTTTTTTTTTTTTTTTTTTTTTTGTCTTTTTGAGACAGGGTCTTGTTATGCATGTTGGTCTCGAACTCGCAGTGATCCTCCTGCCTCGGCCTACCGAGTGCTGGGATTACAGGCATGAGTCACCATGCCCAGCATAAATTTATTTTTTTTAAGTAGAGTCTCCCTATGTAGTCAGGTTTCCTTGAACTCACTATGGAGCCCCGCCTGGTCTTGAACTTTCAATGATCCTCCTGCCTTGGTTTCCTAACTGCTGAGATTACAGGTGTGCACCACCACACCGAGCAAAGTGTGAATTACTTTTATGGTTTGAAAGTCACCTCTGGTTTCTGTAATATGATTTCCATATAGTGACCAGCAGTATTTTCTAACTCCCAAAAATTATAAATAAGAAAAGTTATAAATAAATTATAATTGCATTCAAAATTAAGCATTCTTCCCCTTCAGTAATTATATTCAATGGCAAGACCTGAGAAATGTTGATTTTTATTGATTTAAGTGGGAAGAAAGGCCAATAAACTTTCTTTCTTTGATTAAAGTACCCAAGTTGTGGACTTTATCTAATGTATAGGGAAAAGATTCTGTTCACTTAAACTCACAAATGACTTACAGTTTTCAGAAAAACACATGGAAATTATCTTAAGAAAATAAAATGCTAAACTAGCCACAACCTGTGGATCAACTGATTGATTTTTTTTATTTGAAGAAGGGACTCTTCATGCAGTTCATGCTGGCGTTGTACTCACTTTGTAGCCCAGGCTGGTCTCAAATTTGCAGTGATCCTCCTGCCTCAGCCTCCCCGTTACACATGTGTGCCACCGTGCCCAGCCCTGCAAGATTTTTAAGGGTTCATTCCAAAAGCAGTTCCAGTTGGTGAAATCAAGATGTCTTAGGAGAGTTCTGTGTACATAATATTTTTAATGACAGTTTATTACAAAATAAAAGGATTGCATATTTCCAGTTAAAACTGTCAAAATTGTTTTGTATCATATTTGCTTTACTGTAACTAAAGACACAACATTTTCCATATTATACTCATATATATGTGTGTATGTATGTAAGTATTATATTTTGCTGTCAGGAATCTGCAGTTTCATTGCTAAACACTAAAACTCCATGGATTACCACTGAGATTACAAAGAAAACCTGAGAAGGCTAAACTTTTTACCTCTTTTTAACAAATTCTAGACTTTTCTACATTGTGACATAATATGAGGGAATAACTTTCAGCCTCTACAAAGGGGATGTTTTCTCAAATGCTATGATGGTCCAGGGAGGCAGAATGTGTAACATGTTACCTCTGATGGGTGACAGGCCCAGGGTTGATGGGGGCTGCCTGTCAGACCAGCTTGACTTTTCCCTGTCAAGTCCGAAAGGAAGCCAGGAACAGCCCTGTGAGATGAGGCTTGAGAGCATCTCAGAAGCCCCAAAGCCTGACAGTCCAGGATGCGAATGGGCTATGTCTGGTTATTCCTTTGGCTCAGTAGTGAAGTTGCCTCTCTCTGGGCTTCAGCCTGGGTTTGGGGACAGCTCTCAACTAAAATTCCAGTGGTGCACATCTGTAATCCCAGCACTTGGGAGGCTGAGGAAGCCGTTGTTGTGAGTTCGAAACCAGCCTGGGCTACAAAGTAAGCACAAGCCCAGCTTGAATTGCATAGTGAGGCCCTGTCTTAAAAAGACAAAAAAAAAGGTGGAGGGATTTAACTCAGTGGCATAATGGACTGCCTGGCAAGCACAAAGTCATGAGTTCGATCCCGGGTGCCAAAGGGGGAAAAAAAATCCACTTTTTTGCCAAAAGAAAGGTAAAATTAATTAGTAGTATTGAGTAATTGGTAGATTTTCTTATATATATACCTGTCTTATCTGAGAAGCCATTCAGCGCAGTATGTTAAACTGAGGGCTAAATTGTGGTTGCTTTGTAAACCCATTTAAATATGATTTTGTAACAACTAAACCAGTATCTTTTTTTTTTTTTTTTTTTTTTTTGTCTTTTTTCGTTTTTATCGGTACCAGGGATCGAACTCACGACTGCCTGCTTGAAAGGCAGGCGCTTATGCCGCTGAGCTAAATCCCCAGCCCCCTAAACCAGTATCTTAATACTTCCTAAGTACCCGAGTTTACATTTGCACCAATTATAGACTCGGTTATTAAAAGTGATTTCCAGAATTGGCCATATGAATAAGACTGCAACCCAGAAACTATTTCTGCTTGCGTTTCTTCATCTCTGTTGCTCCTTTCCATCTATGCACAGTGCCTAAAGTTGTCAAGGGGTTTGTATGGCATGAAGCTAGAACAGCATAGCTGGGTCCTCTCCGTGTTAGTTCCAGTCTTAGATCCACCTGTTACAGTTTTCCCTGATAGATAGGCTGAGAGGAATGGGCTCCAGGAGCACATGGGTGCCAAAGCCTTCAGATACGCCAGGTCCTTATGTAAAGTAGGGTATTTGCTTATAATCTACACACATCCTCTCTAATAGTTGGAACCATCTCTATATTACTTACAATGTCTAATAAAATGTAAATGCTAGGTGTGTAGTAAACACTGCGTATTTTAGGAAGTCCGAGAATCTGTACTTGTTCAATATGGATGTGGTTTTTTTTCCCCCATGAATAATAATTATTAGTAGCTGACTGAATCCACAGACCTAGAAACCACAGATATGGGGATGGCTGTCCCAGTTTCACGACCCGTGCTTTGTTTTCTGCAGATGAGATGATGATCTTACAGGTTGTATGTAGGGATGGAATATGTTGACCCACAGAAAGGTGCTATTGAAATAGTCACTGGCATGTAGAGTTCATGTGCCTTTAGTTACGCCACACCTTGCTGCTGCTTATGGATTCGACTTTATTTTTATTAGAAATTATTTAAGTTCTACTAGATTTTAATTTTGAACAGTTGTCCTAACTTTTAAAAAATAATGATAATTTGTACTGAGTCTCTACACGACCTGGGGGACCCAGCCTAAGGAATGCATGCAGGAGGAGCTGGGGGGAGGCGAAGGCCTCCAGGTAAACACCTGCACACACAGGGCAGGTAGGCAGGCAGGCGGGGAGCAGACCGGCTCCCCTAGACGTCCTTGGCCAGCACTCCACTCCTCAGGCATTTGCCAAGTAAATATCAGCTGAAATAAAGACGTATGCTTAGCGTTTTAGTCCTTGGGGAATTTGAAATCAGTTTTTTATGACTGCTGAAAATTAAATGTAGAGATTGTAACTTTCTTTATTCAATTTCCCCCCAGTGTTTAAAAGATGCATGGTGATCCTGAAGCCACCGGATGAGAACACTAGCAATTTCAGGAGAAGTTTGTCTACACTCAGGCTGCAGTATTTTCAGCAAACATTATTAGACAATGGATCTGTGCCTTATCTTTGGTGGAGTGAGAAATGTGAGCCAGTAAAGCCAAATCTTGCAGCAAGCAGCATGCAGCATACCTGGCTCCTCAATGATTGTGACCCGGCATTTAAATGTGAATTTGAATCAAATGTCTATTACTTTCAGCTAAAGTGGCATCACAGGTGTTTCTTAAGTTTAAAAAGTCTTGGATTAAAAAATTCTCCACTAGCATCTCCCGTCTACCATCTCCACCATGAAGTCTGATAAGGAAGCTCCACTTCGTGTACTTCATTCCTTAGCCTCCGTCTATCTTCTGTATGTTCGTGCCCTCTTGCTTAGCAATTCAAGTGTAAGGCCTTGGACTCCTTAAATCACAATGTAAAGAAGAATAAAGGAGCCGGCCGCGATGGCACACGCCTGCAGTCCAGCTCTCAGGGAGGCTGAGGCAGCAGGATCGCCATGAGTTTGAGGCCAAAATTTTAAAGGTAAAAAGAAAGCTAATATTTTCTCTATCTCTTCACCATCCTGAAGTCTTAAGGTGGTTTTAGAAATGCCTAAGGTGGGCTGAAGGTGTAGCTCAGTGATACAGTGCTCACCTGTCCTGCACTAAGCCCTGGTTCATCCCCAGCACCACTAAAACAGAACAGTTGATGGTAAACTTGAAACTGGGACACCCTCGAAAACACACAGATAGTTAGCAGTTCTGGATCTTTTCTCAGCTGGTATCAGTTATAAATAAGAATGAAGTAGGGGCCAAAATGCAAAATCAAAAATGAAGCAGCTTCATGTAGTTAATTTTAGTTCAAACCGTAACAATATTGTGGCTTCCTATGTATTATTTTATATTGTACTTTTGTTCTGTTGATGGCTTGAACATTCATAAAAAATCCACTAGTTTTTAATACAGAAATAATAGCATTTGGAGAGTGTAGTCTAGAAAGCAATGTACTAACTGCTGCAGCAAAAATGCGTGTATATTAAAATAGCCTTCAACCTTTTTCTCCAATGTCTTCACTGTCAAATAATTAAAACTTTGAAAAGCATAGGACTGTAGTCAGCATGCTAGACGGAGGCGTTGGACACTGGCTCGGTAAACAGGTTCTGACACCGTCAGTGTTTAGCACTGTTTAGCTATGTTTATGCTACAAAAGTGCAATATTAGACACTAGCTAGTACTGCTTCCTGTCTGACTCCAAAAAGGAAGACAGGATTTGATTCAGGGAACATACTTCATGTCATCCCTAGCTTGGATCCAATGCCGTGCAGATTTTTTTGTGGCTGCTATTTTTACTTTGCATTACTTTGATGAACGGAGAGCCAAACGCAACCCTCTTACCTGACCAGCAGTGACCCTTTAACTGCAACCAGGAAAACCAAACGTCGTGTGTGAGAATTGGTGAGAACTGGCACTTAAGATCCTAAAGAAAATTCTTGGTATGTTAGCCTTAAAATGCTCTCTGCCCAGGCTCTGAAAGACTGCTAGGCAGTAATACTGCAATACTACTGAGTTTTGTAGAATTGTTACATTTGATAATAAAACTTGCCTGCTTAATCTCAATGCTTGCAGTCTTTTTTTTTTTTTCTAAGTTTACCATAAATACAGTAATTATAAAGCTATCTATGCTACTAAGGAAACTACAGAAGGATCAAGACCAATCTGGGGGGGGGCTGGGGATTTAGCTCAGCAGCATAAGCACCTGCCTTGCAAGCAGGCAGTTGCGAGTTCGATCCCCAGTACCGATAAAAATGAAAAAGACCAAAAAAAAAGGGTGGGGGGATGTAGCTTAGCACTCCTTAGTTTCAACATCCACTACCCAGGAAAACTTGTTGATAAATACTCAAGATGCAGGTTGAATAACCACCCTCAGGGTACAAGTCACTGAAACTTTCTTTTTATTCTTGCTTGCATATTGGACTTGAACCCAGGGCCTCATGCTTGCTAGGCAAACATCCTACCCCTGATCTACATTCCTAACCCTGACTGAAATTCTTAACAGCTGTGGTACTTGGTCCTTCGGTCTCACTGGTGAATCTCAGTGTGCTTAACAATTTGGGTTTTTGTTCTTTTATTATGTGGAGAATTGAACCCACTGGCCTTTCTCATGCCAGACAAGTGATCCACCACTGCAAATTGTGTAACACAATTTGCAAAATTCATTTAACTCACATTTAACTCTAGTGTTAAATTGGCTCCTTTTTCTTTACTGATGCTGAAGCCTCATTTTCTAATACAAATTCTATCCTTGTTTTGGGACTCAGGTTAAGTTCTGCCAACCTCTAACATTTCAGGGCCGCCTATATCAACACTGTCACTTATTTGACCTTTGTACTCTTGTTACAGAGCCCAGGTGTGTTAGCAGTTCTCAGTTTATAACCTCAAGGGCAGGAACTGTGCTAACATTCCTATTTCCTGTTCACTTGGTGTGCATTAAGCATTCTTAGAATAAAGTGTGGTTCATATAAAACAATTAAAAAAAAGAATAAAGTGTGGTTCACTCAGGAAGTGTTTTCAGTCCTAGTCCTTCATCATTTATAAATCCAGATCAGTTTTGTGCCTCAGCTTCAAATCTTTCTACCATTGCACGTGGCAAGGAGGCCACAGAGTTCCCAGGCAAGTTCCTCCTCACTTGGAGGTTGAAGGGCATTTCACACATTCCTGCCTTCTGCTGGATCCAAGCAGCCCAGGCAGTGCTGGTGTCCTGTCGTTCTTCTGTGCAGTATTCCTGGTGCAGCTGCTCTGTTCAGCCAGGGTGTGCAGTGGAGTAATGGTAATGGGGAAGGAAAGGAGACCGAGAATAAACGGGACCAGGATGTGTGTGAAGAGATGCTATGGTTCCATCTCCAGCCCAGTGCTTTGTGACTTCGAGGTGCTTGAGATGTACACGGTAAGTATGTATTGAATGAAACAACATGTAAGTATGTTGACTTGTACAGGAGAAAATGATTGTGACTTTGTTGATGTTTGGTTTGGTTTGGTTTAGTTCTGAGACACTGTCTCACTGTAGTTCAGGTTGGCTTTCAACTTGATGATGTATCCCAGGCTGGCCTCAACTCGCAGCAATCTTCCTGCCTCAACCTCTCAAGGTCTGGGATTACAGGCGTGGGCTGCTTCACCCAGCTGCGACTGTTTCTTCTGAAGATTCTTTATGATTTTGAGGTTGTGGCTCAGGAACAGCATTTGCTCAGCATGCACAGCTCCCTGAGTTTCATCCATAGCATCAAAAATAAAGAACCTTGTTTTTGCTTTGGCAGCGCATATACTAAAAACAGAAATGAATTTTAATAAACCCCATATCGGGGGCTGGGGATTTAGCTCAGCGGCATAAGAGCCTGCCTTGCAAGCAGGCAGTCGTGAGTTCGATCCCTGGTAGCGATAAAAAGGAAAAAGACAAAAATAAATAAGTAAATAAACCCCATATCGCTAAAGTAAGAATTATTTTTCTTTAGTACTATTTATGTGCATTTCGTTTTATCGGTGCTGGGGATTGAACCCAGAGCCTCTTGCCTTGGAGCAGAGCGCCCCTACCGAGCTCTCCAGCTGCTGCAGAGTTACTATTGCTAAGATCACCATGACAATGTTTTCCCTTAATACTATTCTGTCAATTTGAAATATTTCAATTCGTTATTAATGGATGGTTTTCACATTAGAGTAAAATTCAAAGAATCACTTTATACTGAGCTACACCTTCGAAGAGCCAATTTAGCATAAAATTTACTAAGCATGATTTTGGCTTCTTACGCCACCTACTGGGCATGATGTGCTACTACGAGTCTTATTCTCAAGTATAGCCATATGGGATTCTAATTGGATTTCAATTTTATTTCTAAACTAATTTACTTAAACAAGTTGGTTAGTTTTTTTTTTTTTTTATCAGTACCAGGGATTGAACTCACGACCACGATTGCACACTTGCAAGGCAGGCGCTTATGCCGCTGAGCTAAATCCCCAGCCCCTTGGTTACCATTTGCTAATGGGGGGGGGGGGGTGCGGGAGAAGGGGGTAGGGGAAGTGGGATGTTTGACTCTAGGCCATGCACCTGTAGGTTCACTATTGCTTAGCAGGGAGGCAGGCTGGTTGCTTGGTTTCCCAGATTCGTAAGTTCCAACATGGCCCGGATCTTAGGAGCAGCTGGCGGTTCTCCCCCTGGAAGGGCCACAGTCCATAAATAATATTTTTATTAGTACATGTTTGCAGGACAGAGTGATTATATTTATCATGGGGGAGGTGTACATGTACACAGTACATCTTAATTCTTTTTGTCCCCTCCCCTTCTCTCTAACCCCTTCTTTCTACTTTTACAATGGCCTTATTTTCATTCTCTCATTTTCATCTTTTTCTCTCTTTCTCTTTTTTTTTTTTTTTTTTGGTCTTTTTCCTTTTTATTGGTACCGGGGATCGAACTCATGACTGCCTGCTTGCAAGGCAGGCACTTATGCCGCTGAGCTAAGTCCCCAGCCCCTTCATCTTTTTTCTTTAAACCTCTTTTCCCTTCCTGCCTCCTCTGCCCTCTTCAGAGAGTTTTTATAGGCTTTTTATGTTTTAGTAGCACATTGTACTTGACACATAGAAAGTATCTGATTAATTTTAAGATATAAACCTTAACAATAATCAATTCATCATTTATCACGTTTAGTATGCCACCAGTTCCTGTAGATTTTATTTCCAGCATCCATCTTTCTTTTCTTTTTTTGAAAGCATGGTTTTACTGTGTAATTCAGGCTGGTCTTAAGCTCACAGCAAACCTCCTCCCTCAGCCTTGTGAATGGTGGGCTTGTACCCATGTGTCACCATGGCCAAGTGGAACGGACTTTCTTGGAATCATGGAAAACTCAGTTATAATTCCTGCTGCCAGGCAACATCTTGAGTAGATCAAAGTTCCATCTGTTTGCATGCAGTGTATATTTTGCATAAAAGTGACCTATTCCTTTGCAATAGATTACACCAATTTGTGCATAAGGTATTCTACTCCATAGTTGATGTATCAGTTTTGGGGTTTAGGCTCATAATGCTTTTGCTGGGGAATATGCTCGCTAGTTCATTGATTTTTACATAACAGTAAATTGAATAATCATCTCGTCCTTCATATTTCCATATCAAGAAACTATTTTCTGTTTATTTCTCTCCCCCACTATTGTGTAGAGGAATTAAGTCTGTTAATCTCCTTGAGATGACTGTGAGAATGCAGAATATCACAAGACACTGAACCCTACATTGGTCCATCGTGGTGTAGCTCTACTTGACCGGCGCAGCCCCCCAATGAGACAGGAGACGCTCTTGTGGGCGACAGTTAACTGCTGCTTTATTTACGCGGGCTCTGGTTTATATATTTGGCGTGACCAATCACAGGCTGCCACGAGGAAGCAGGGCGGGAATGGGATGCAGGCTCTGGCCACTATATCCAGCTGTGGCCAATCAGGAGTTGCCACAGAGTACGGAGTGAGCAGGAAGTGCGCACGGGTTGGCTAATTTAAAGAGGGACATAGCGCATTGGGGAAGCTGGTGTGGTCCTTAGTCCCGGGTGGGGTATGGTATGTTGAGCGCCTGCGCCCAACACTACTAGCACAGCCTATCTGATAAACAGGACCTAGGGTATTTGCTCATGGTGCTGTCATGCCCTCGGGTTCTCAAGATCTTACTTTTCTTGTTGCTGGGACAAAATACCCAACACCCAAAGTTAAAAGAGCAAAGGTTTTTTGGCTCACAGTTTGTAGACATCTCAGTTCGTAGTCGGCTGGCTTCAAATTAAGAGGAATGTGATCATTATGTAAGGTAAACATGTACCAATGAAAAAAATTTTTGGTACCAGGAATTGAATTCATAACCTTCTGTGTGCCAGGCAGATGCTGAGCCACTGAGCTATATCTCTGGTCTCCAATAAAAAAAAAATTTTTTTTTGTAATGGGAATCAAATTCAGGACCTTGTACTTGTCAGGTGGGCACCTGTGCTGCTGAGTTATATTCCTGACCCCCCCCCCCAAATTTTTTTTTTTAAAGGACTGGAGAGCGCCCGCGGGTCTCGAATCACCGGACCAATCGACCCGGGCGGTTGGGAAGCCAGACTTGAAGGAACCGCTGGGCTAAAGCCAGCCCCAAAATTTTTAAAAACAGAAAAAGAAAAGAAAAAAACTGGGCATGGCACATGTGTATTTCCAGCATTTGGGAGGCCAAGGCAGTAGGATCACTGTGAGTTCCAGGCCAGTCTGGGCTACACAGCAAGTTTAAGGCCAGTCTTAAGTACTTATCAAGACTGTGGCTCAAAAAAAAAAAAAAAAAAAAAAAAAAACCACAGAAAACAAAACAAAACCTATATTAGGCTGGTAATACAGTCAGTGGCACAGTACTTGCCTGGTAAGCACATGGTTCTCACTTTGAGTCCCAGTACTCCCCACCTAAAAAAAAGAAGAAAATCCATCTTAGCCAGGTGTGGTAGTATATGCCTGTCATACCAGCACTAAGAGTCAGAGGCAGGAGGATCACTAGAAATCTGAGGCCAGCCTGGGCTCCAATGTGAGCTTGAGGCCAGCCTGAACTGCACAGTAGGATCATATCTCAAACAA